TTCAAAATTCTCATTTACTTTAAAAGGTAACTATCTTTCCATTATTAGATCAACGAACGTTGCATAATTATTTTGGAATTTAACCACTAAACTAAATACAATCTCATTATTTGTCGACAAACAAATGGTTGAGAAAACATTTGAATCAATTTATTGATTGTTTTTATTTGATTTGTTATTTCTGCTAACTGTATAAAATGCTGAATAGTTGAAGATTTCTCTATTCAGTCAATCCTATATCTTGATTTCATATTATCACATTATATATCAATATGTAATACCTCCAGGAAAAAAAGAGAACTGGAGCTCATATGAATAGCCAGAATTTGTATTCATGAATGTATATCACAGTTATAGGCTTTACCACTGAACGAATTTTGTTTTTCATGAAAGGGACTTGTGGAAATAGTATTAGTTTCATAGTTAACAATCACGAACTGCTCTAAGCTACAACACCACTAGAAACCTGTAAGCACTGGATGGCCGCTTCATTCTAGTATGGGACTCCTCAATGGTTTACAGATTGAGCATTCGTGTTACCTCTAAGTTATGAAGAATTGAAGCTGTTCTGAATATTCAAAATGCATTGTTGAATGTATATCTGTTAATATATTCATCCAATACCCTAAGAGAATTATTGGTCAGTTCCTATTGGTTAATTCCTACTTTATGGTCGTACTAGATATCAATGTCATGTACTCCAATGTTGTTTCTTATTGGTCGTCCTGAATTTTAACGTCACTTCAAATGTTGTTTCCTGTTGGTCGACTTAACTGTCAAAGTCACAGGATTCGATGCTGTTTCCTATTCGACCAAAATGTATAAATACGCATTATCTGTAACGTTTTATGACGTGCATCCCTAGTTCGGGGTCCTGGTTCTCTTCTGAACTCGGACCTCATACTTTTTGGGTGTTTGTAGAATGCAGGCTCGACCTCGTATCAAGTCTTCTTCTTTTCACTCAATGGGGGGGGGTTGGGACACTCGGATTAGTGTAGCATGTCATGTCGCCGGATCCCCGATCCTCGTTCGCGTTTTCCGACTAAGGCGAACTCTTAATAGTTCAAGCATATCAAAATTACATGTTTACCTGCATGCGTAACAATATCACAATCGTGAGCTTCACTTTTACTAAAAAGAACTTATCTTATTCGTCTTATTTATCCTCATAACATGTTACATCTAAGTCAGTTAAATATTTTCATAATATTGAATCAAACCATTCTACTAATTCAAGTGGTTATTAATAACTTGATAACGAAATCATTTATTATTTTTATGATTATTAACATGAAGTTGAAGAATTCATAAATTATTATTTTGTTTATAGTAATAAACTTGTTTCACAGAAATCTCTAGTACCTAAACTCGTATTATGTGTAACGTGTACATTTGATCAACAATAACTAAACAAAGTGACTGTTTTTTTTTAGTAAATTGTACTGATTGAAATTGAACTGATAAATTATGGTATTTTTCTAGTTAAATATTATGTCTACGTTGTTGAATGAATGTATACATACTCGCACACAATATACATGATGTATATAATATAATATAATATAATCAATCTTGCGTAACTTGTGTGTGTAACCTTCTATCCCTAGATTGGTTGATCTTTATGCAGAATAAATCTAGATTGTTTATAAGACTTTTTTTCTTTATAAATCTAGTGATATTTAGTCGGATTATCTAATCAATTGTGCTAGATAGTTTTACTAAAAATGATAAAATACGAAGTACTGAATGATTGTATTTATTGAATCAAGTTTAATTATTTGTTAGTTTTGTCATTTAACTACTAAAATGTCATTGGATCTTGGTTTAATAAGTTAAGGGTCGAGTTTTGAGTTTATGGATTGTGGCTACATATTGTTGCTGAGTTCTTAAGTAGAACAAAACAGCCGTCTAATATTCCCCGGTTTATAAGAGTTTTCCAATGTATATCAGTTCCTGATTTCAATCCACGTAAAACGATTTACTGTGAGCTCATTTCATGACATCATCTGAAAGTGAGTGTATAAAAATCTAAGATTATCTAAGGATGGATTGAAGACCCTAAAACACAGGATACTTTCTGTGCTTGTCCAATTAGCTTCAGATATACAAGTTCCCTAAACTCATGTTCAGCTTGGTAGGTGAATGAAAGGATTAAGAATAACTAGGAATTTCCTACGCCTAGGCACCTCTGTCATTTTGAAGAGAGCACGTTCAAAGGTTTGAACAGAATATCATGAATTCATTTTAATTTCATTCCCGTCAGCCGCTTACAACCTACATGATTTATAAATCAGATTTAAAGAGTGCGTTCCAGTCACCAACACAAAAGATGTTGTTATGATCATAAACAAAGACCTTAATAAATTTAATAGACTAAGTGAAATATTTTAAATGCATATTTTGTGTAAAATAGCTTTCTACTGGAGAGATATCTATGGAAAACAGTACAGTGTTGGGGATGTTAGATCCCCACAACTCGCTTGATAAATGCCTTATTTTGGATTTCACAGTTGCGAGCATGGGCTGATCAGCTGACCCTGAAATTTCATTTCCCACCAGGAAAATCCTTGGTTGTGATTGGCTGCTGTGTATTTTAGTGTGTTATTTTTGTGACTGTCCCAAGGACGTTTCTATGATGCATAAATAAACGAGATTTGTGTGCTTGATTGGATTGTATTTTCTGGGTGCTTGTACAATACACTTTCTACGCTTATTAAGACTTCTGTTTTACAGTTTGGGATTCAAGGTAGCCTACTTCGTTAGCGTTTATCGACTAAGGTGAACCCGTAATAGTTTCAAGCATACCTAGTGACGAACCTAACAGTATACAACTCATTAGCTTAACAGAATTCATAAACCTTGTTTGACATCTGTCCCGTTCCTTTCGGCCTTGAACTAGTATGTGCACTCAAGCACGTGATAGATATATATGAATTTCTCCAACCTAACAGTATACCTGTCTTGTCCTCATTTCAAACTACGAAACTTGATTCTTTGAACGGATCAAGAAGTCAGTAGAACCCTAAGCTTAATTATCACTTTCCTCTATAAAAGATTCCAGTAAATGCGATTTCTACTGGAAACGAATAAATGAATGAAACAAAAGTAGTTATTTTGTCATGTCATGAATGTTTTATCTAGTTATTATTTAATAATAACTAATACCTCACCCTTATTTATCTATGAGCTTTATAAGGCCTAGTTTTAGTACATACGCATAAACATTTCAACTTGATTAAGTTCAGTAAATATAATGTATAATAGTTTCACCAGTAGTACTTATCTAGCCATATGTGATGAATTATTTTTAAATGAGTATTCAATATGTGGAAATAGCAAGAGTATCGATTTCATCTGAATAACATGAATCGATTGATGATTTCAAATGTGTAAAAAAAACACTAATCTCCATAACTCTAATTGAAAATATCGTAAAATGTGCTCACTAGTGACTAGCTTCGTGAGGAAATCCTCGGAGTTCTAGTGAGAAAATGTGACCAGCGGAGTTCAACCCTGTCGACTGTAGGCAGTAACTACCAAAGACAAATGGGTGAGGTTGCACAGAATCCCTAGATCAATCAGAGTTAGACAGTAACATCGTTGGATGTCGGTCGAGTGGTCCAGAGGTTAGGCGTTCGCACACAATACCGAAGGTCCCGGGTTCGAATCCTGTGACATCCAGGACTCGTGGATGCGCACTGCTGATAAGCAGTCCTATACCAAGACGAAACGGCCGTGTTTCAGTGCTTCTAGGTTTCTAATGGTGGTCTAACAATGATTGATTGATGATTTCGAATGTGTAAAAAAACACTAATTTTCATAACTCTAATTGAAAATAACATAGATTTATTTCCCGACATTAGATTCAAGTTCACTGCCTACAATCTTCAATGTTCCATAGTAAAAATAACCAAAGGAATTGAAACATGGATAGAAATGAGTTTGTATAAAAGTCAACCTGGGCTTCTATGAATACGGTGTAATGAAGATCCAAATGAATTACAAAATGTACCATATGCAGAACTACATTCTTGAAATTTGATAGTAAATTGAGACGAGAAGGGCCAGAAATAACTATTTACTTAGTGAACTTAAGTTAATGATAGATAAATGGAGTGATATACCGAAATAATCAAATAACGGAAAAGTTGAAATATATAGGGTAATTAAACACAAATTATACTATCAGGATGAAGAAAGATTGACAACTTCCCTTTTAAACATAAATCAGTCGTCAAAAATTCGATAGAAATAATTTCAAAAATGTTTGGGAGATTTAAGTTCGAATGTTTACAGACCAGTTTGAAAGATTTCGTGGTAGCTAATAAGGAGATATCCAGAGAATATGTCACTGAACGTCTTCTTTCCTCTTAAATGACGGAAGCTTCAACTAGATATTGTTCAAATTAGTGAACATCGCACAAAGTTATAGGCCAGTTTAATTATTACATGGCCGATAAATCTTTAAGATTTATTGTTCCTGCTTGGTTTAACTGAATAATCTTACCTGATGCACATTTATAACCATCTGAGAATAGGTTAATACTATATCCAGTTACACTGCTGGTGATCGAATACAGAATATTCAGGTCGCTAGATGAACACTGAACGGCATCCAGTAGTTTAATTATCATATTCCAGCCAATTTATTAGGATGTTGAGCAATCTTCTTTTATCACTATTGGATAACTGACTAACATTCCATATAAATGATCTTCACTGGAGCAGCAAGATGATTGCATAATGTCGGATATCGATTGAAGTTACATATATAAATTATTGGATACTGAGTGATCTAGAATTTAAGCGTTCATCGCTGAACCTGAAGTTTCTGTGTTGGGGTTGTGTCGAAGCAAATTTTTACAGGACACTTAAAAATTAACTGATCGTAAGGTGCACAAACACGATTACATTCCAATACTTATCTATTTCAAAATATAATCTGTGGTTACTCGTATTTCGAGTTAGCTTTTTTCTTTCGATTTCATTTTTTCTAACAGGTACACACACCAGGTTCTTTTGGAATCTTTAACAGAATTTTTTACAACCTATGAAGACAGACCACGCTTTAGCTTAACATTCTTAAGTGAATTAATACATGAGAATCCAGCATACGGAAAACTCATAGATGACGATTTATCAAAACTGCTTCAACGCATTTACTATGAAGATTTAATGTTCAATAGTGGAAATCCGAGGACATCTAGTGCCTCAAGCTATCCATTTGCCAATACATTCGTAATATTATTCTCTGATCACGGGCCACGCATGGGGGATGCACGACTTTCAATTCAAGTTAGTTACAGAAAGTTTTAAATATTTTTATTTGAAATTCAACTACTTAAAATAATATAAGTAATATGCATTATAAATAAAAAGTTTCTTAACCTTTTCATTTATATCAGCGAAGATCTATAGTTTCCCAACGTTGATATCCAAAAATGCGATTACTCTGTTTTTCTTGCCATATGTGGATCCTTAGCGAATTGGGTTTGATCTGTAGCCATCAGTTAGTCATTCATATATGTAATAGAACAAACATCTCAGGCCGACCTCAGAGTAGCAGAAGTAGTACTCGAGCCAGTGATGGTAGGAAAAACTAGATAAAGACAGCATGATTCGAGTGGAAAATATGAATACAAGGAACTTAAAGAGTGCAAGATACTTTCCAAACTTAAGATATAAAGAAAGATGAATACATCTAGACCATCTAACTTAATTCTAAGTTAGATCACTATGCAGACACCATGTTGGTAGTATGAACCTACTTACACAGGTCAGACGAACAACTGATAAACTGGTGAACAGATGTCATATTATGGTTTTGTCTTAATGTTTGTTTGTCAAGTTAAAACCTTACCTACTCCACCAGTAACGTAAGTTGATAAAAGCAAACCGATCTTTCTGAATCTGTACCAAGATTTCTTCAAACATTATCCTACCAAGGGTGATGATATTTTCGAAATAAATTAAGTTGTTGACTTGTTAGCAGAGGAACAAAACAATTGATATATAGTTTATATATTGCTATATGAACACTTTTACGGAAACATCTTGTGGCAAAGTTAATTTTAATCTGAATATCAAGACTAGTATCGTTGTTATTACTACTTTCCGCCTCTGTTCTCTTCATAGTTCTACTTGATAAAGTTATCCTGACTTATTTAAAACTTGATCTAGTAAAATTTCCGACCGAAATATTTAAAATGTGACAAACTTTGTCTGATTTTACAGTATTAAGAAATCATCTGACCATAACAACAAAAAAAACTCAAGCAACTAAAATATAGTTCATCTCATTCAAAGTTAATGTAGTGAATGAGAACACAGGTTAGGACAACCAAATTGTATTTACGAAAATTACAGAGTTACTCAGTAAAATAGGAAAACCATATTGTAAATCATTAATTTGCAAAATATCAGTCCATAATATCGAACTGGACTGTTCCTGTTGCAAAACATCAATCCATTGTCACTATTCATGCGTTTCATACAAATTCCATTGTGTTCTAACTCGTCCTTTCTTGATCTTCCCCCCTCCCATCTTCTGCTGCCAGACATTACGTTGACACTCACGTCATTTAGTACTTATAAGTAGCTCACACCACATTAGTAGTGTTTTTTAATGTCAGTAAATTCGGTAATGTGACACTTGTCATAGATCTTTCTTGTCAAACAAGATAAAATCTATGTTGTAATTGCCTCATAAATCTATCTAACTTAATATGACATGTTGTATCATCCAAACATAATGACAATATTTAGTTTTATTAGTAAACCTTTGGTACATCATTGATTCTTGAGTAATACAATGAATAAGACAAACTAATGGTAGTTATGTTTCTTTACAAAAGAGACTATCTTTGATTATTTTTTAATTAGAAAGAGGTGTTCATGAAAAAAAACCTAATGACACCTTACCACTATGTTGTGTAAAATCAACTGTAAGTTTATTAATTGAGAAGATTTTATCATTTGTGATTTTTACTAATCAAACCGTTGAATAAAATCCACCATAGTTTTGATTTTTAGTTATGTAGGATCCGAAATGAGGTTTGAACTGAGGAATAACTGTCTAGGTAGGTTAGGTAAGCGTCTTGACCAGTTGAAATCAAAACAAGTGATTTGGGTAAATAACGGTTCTAATATTCATCATAAATATAAATATACATCATTACCTAAACAAATATTACTACTCAGTTATTCCACTAACAATTGTTCAACTAATCGAGTCCACAACAGCAAATAAATGATATTCTATCCCTCCTCGATAGATCAGATTCGTTCGACAGATAATATTTGGTTGCTTTATAACACAGAGTGTTTCCGATTCTGGAAGAGTGCTTCAATTCACAATCAAAATGCACAATTCCAGTCCGTACAAGCAATCCAATCAAAAGAGGAACAAATCAATATGGCTGTCGCCATGACTAAGTATCAGCTTAAACAACATAAATGCAGTTCAGTTCAGAAAGAAACATAGAAACTCAGTGAAGGCAGAAGAAATAGAAACTATAATAAAATACAAATATTATCATCTCAAAATGGAATCGAACAGATTAACAAAATGTACAACTGAAGGAATCCATAAGGACAAATTACAAAAATGTATACATGGAAGGATTTTCACAAATAAAGCTTTAAAAAAAATGGATCTTTCAATTATATTTTAACTTTAAGCTATTAGAAAAGAAAACAACACCAGATTGTGTAATGAAAAATCAAAGGAACTGTTTAATTTCAATAATTTCATGCATAAAATGCATGAGAAATGTAATTTACTCAGCTTTCAATCTTCGATAATAAAATAATCTTTTTATAATTTCATAGGATTTAGTAATAAACTTTATTCTATTCGATTTCACTTGTGTATACATCTAGGTCACACTATAGTTAAACTATGACTTCCATTATTTTTTACGCTCATTGCTGATGAGTCCCATACCAGGACGAAACAGCTGTCCAGAGTTTTCGGTGTGTCTAATGATAGTCTAACAATGATTCATTCATTAACATCAAGATAAAATTACAATTTCCATAATACTCCTGATTACAAAATCATTATTTGTATGTTTCATCGATTCATTTGTATTTTTTTGCAGAAATTCTCAATCAATCAATAAGTTTTCAAATGTAACATTTACCTTTGATTATTTATCAACAGTCAATATATGAATTTGCTATGCCTAATATTATTTATTTTATATACACTGATTGATTGACTGATACAAACTTTTTCAGCTGTTAAATAAAAATTGTAAATTCACTATAGTGTGTATGTTTTTCAATTTCTCTATATACTATGTCCATTAAATTGAGCTGAAATAAATAAAGGTCAACAACAACAATTAAAATGATAATACACCCAAAGCTGATTTTGAAAAATCCAATGAAACACATTAAGTGTATTTTTTGCTTTATTTTTGTTATTTCAATTACTAGAGTTATAAGTTAAGGTTAGAAAGTTAAATTAATTTATTTATTAATTATTAAGCTAAGTAATACCCTACCAAAATTGATTTAGATTTTATTTGTTTTAGCGTTTTAATATGATGATGTCTTGCTTTTTATTCATGAAATTCGATTGAGGATTTCAAATGTGTGAAAACAATAATCTGTATGAGTCTAATTAAAAAAATATTGTAAAATGTTTTTACTTGTGACTAGCAACGTGAGGAAATTCTCGGAGTGAGATGTGACCAGTGGAGTTCAAATCTGTCCGCTGTAGGCAGTAACCACCAAAGACAAATGGGTGAGGTCGCGCAAAATCCCTACATCAATCATAGTTAGACGTTATCTCCGTTCGGTGACGGCCCAGTGGTCCAGAGGTTAGGCGTTCGCGCACAATACCGAAGGTCCCGGGTTCGAATCCTGCGAGATGCAGGAGTCGTGGATGCGCACTGCTGATGAGTCCCATACCAGGACGAAACGGCCGTGTTTCAGTGCTTCCAGGTTTCTAATGGTGGTCTAACAATGATTGATTGATGATTTCAAATGTGTAATTCGATTTAAGTTTAATCGGTTAGTGTGATTTGAACTAAAAATCTATTTTATATAAAGTAGGCAAGAGAAAATGCACTTCAAGCTTCAGTTATCATATATCAGTTACATTTTCCTCTTCTTAATCCCAGCTAATCCATAAGACAGCTTTCTGAAGAGGATTTGTTGGAGGAGACCTAATAAGCATCATAAACAGATTTACAATATTCTAAGTAGTAGGTTGGAAAATTTACAAAATCATAAGGTCAGTGGGTCAATCGGGTAAGGGGAGTAACTTTGTCTACAGTATCAACCGACAACTACAGTCTTGTGAAGTTTTAAGATGAAAAAACAGAAACGTGAATTTTTTTTGAAGGAAAAATAAGAAAGTATAAGTGACTTTTGAGGATTTAAAAATCTTCAACGACTTAAGACTGTTATTAGTAGCGGATTACTAAATTAACCAGCCGAAAAAAATCATTAGTTGGTATAATATTGTTCAGCTACTAAAGACTTTTTAAAACTGAGTTGAACTATAAAATCTTTAATTAACTTCAATGTTCAAGTCACAGTATGAACATCAAAACTCAAACACAATAATGAAACCAACCAAAATGTTCCAAATAACCAAAAAAAGCACACACACACATTGTAGATTTCATTACTTGTTACGGTTTATTTTTTATTTGTAACCATGAATCGATCAATGTTAGACCACCGTTAGAAACCTGGAAGCACTGGACGGCCGTTTCGTCCTAGTATGGGACTCCTCAGTGGTCTAACGGTTAGGGCGTTCGCGGACAATACGGAGGGTCCCGGGTTCGAATCCTGCGGGGTGCAGGAGTCGTGGATGCGCACTGCTGATGAGTACTATACCAGGGTGAGAAGGCTGTCCACGTCTTCCAGGTTTCTAATGGTGGTCTAACATTGATCGATTCATGGTTACAAATAAAACTTAACAATCTTCACAACAACCCCGCAATGTTTATTTTTTACTGAAATACTAGAAAATGCTGACAATCAATCGATTTGTTTAAGTATGTATTGGGATTATAGTTTGCATATTTGAAAAAATAGTCAGTATTGTTGTATTAACAGCAACAACAACGATAACAATAAACATCAGAAATGTGTATGTCCAAAATTAAACTTTATCATCTACTACTGTTTTGTTATTATTGATTAAAATCTACTTAATTAAACAACAATCTTTCTGTTTTTTTTTCAAATCAAATTATTTCTATGACCAGTATCGTCAGTAAATATTTAAAAAAACAACAAGAACAATAAAACTAAAATGTACACACATCCTTGTA